TAGGAGGCAAGGGGTGCTCCACAGCCTCCTGGGACTTCTCCACTGGTCAGAAATTTGACCAATGTACATAAGTTATTTAAAGTGCTGTAGGTTCCTAAAACACTATAAAATACAACACTTCAAATGTAATACCTTATTTAACAAGGATTAATTTAAAGTGCTGTACTCATGTTTAAAGTCCTGTAAAGCCGTACACTTCTGTTAAGTCATGGCAATAGAGCACTTGAAATGGTAAAAAAAGCAACTTTTGTACACACCCTTAGATATCACCACCAGAAAAGGAGATGACTAAGAGGAAATGAGAGAGAGAACCCCACCCCCCCACAAAAACACATTGCCCCTTTTCTAGAAACCAAGAATTAGAAGGCTATCCATGCAGGACCTCCACGTCAGGGGATCAAGGATGCCTGGCTGGGCCAACAACTTGAGTTATCACACCTGCCCCAATCCTTGGATAATGTGACTGCCCCAGTTCTCTGAAATTGGATTGGCTACTGAAAGCACCACTCAACACTTTTAAGCATATCTGCAGTCTCAGGCTGTAGGCATGCCTTCACACAGCCTCTAGCTGTTCTGGCAAGACTTGTGTTCACTGCTTTCTCTGGTTCTCCTGACTTGGCTTTGGATTTTTCTGACCCTGACCTCAGATCTTCCCTGGAATTCAGCACCAGCTTTCTGACTCTTGGTTTCTGATCCTGGCTTGCTTCTCAAACTATGTATTTTGTGCTCTCAGTGCTCCTGGAACTTAGTCTCCACATTCTCTGTGCCTTGGGCTCAGACCCTGACCCGACACTTGGGTAATCTGTACTTCCACCTTGCTGACCTCGTAGTCGCTCCTAGTGGTTTACTGCAGGCGTGGCAACCTACATCCCAGCTAAACCCTCACAATCTGTAAAGTTAGGCTAATGGTACTGACATACTTCATAAAGTGCTTTAAGATACCATTTAAAGTTTTGAGAAATATGGAAAATCGTTGTGGCCCAAACAGATCATTCAGATCCATAGTTTCATAAAGACACACTTACTATTAAGCTACCTTGGTATTATTGTTACAGGGATATAGGTTGTAGCCATGTTGGTCTAAGGACATAGGCAGACAAGGTTCTTTGGATAAATCTGATATCTTTTATTAGACTAACTCAAATAATTGGAAAAATTCTTCTTAGGCTTAGGAAGCATCTGCAGTTGCTGTGTGCTCTTCCATCAGACAGATGAAAGGTATTTATACCTGAATGACTGCAAAGAACAATTTTTCCAACTATTTGAGTTGGTCTAATAAAATATATCAGATTTATCAAAAGAACCTTATCTGCCTTGGTATTATTGTGCATGATTGAGATATCATCAATATAATTATCATCAAAATGCACTGATGAACAGGAAAATAATACCACAGAAACGATGCATATTTCAATTAATTAAATAAATAGCTATAATTTCATTTTTAACTAAAATGTCAAATGTCATTAGTTAAAAAAGCCAACTTACATTACTGTGTGTTTTGCTGATATTCAAAGCATGCTCTAAATACAGCAAGTTTGGTAAGTCTGAAACTGGATCATGCAAGCTTTCCATATCTTTTTTGTATTTCACCTGCAAATAGAAATCAGAAGACAGAATATTTTACTAACCTTTGCTTTTCTTCAAAATTATTTGCATTGCTTACAACCAAGAATGTCTACCTATTACAGAGCTTTGAGATAGTTATCCATGTTAGACTGAAGTCAGGCAAAATGCAGGGCAGGGTGGCATCTTGGGAACTAATTTGTTCAGGGAGGCATAAGCTTTTGTAGGCAACAGCCTGCTTCATCAGATGCTTTAGCTGTCACTTAAGAAAACTTATGTCCATTTGAACAAATTAATCTCTAAGGCAGTTATTCTCAGTACGGGTGCTACAAGATCCTTTTTAGGCTGTGAGGAAATAAGCACTCTCTCTTCCCCAGGAGGCTTCTTTGCAAAGAGGTTATTACAGGCTCATCTCTGCCTGGCTCCAGTGCGAGAAGGAAAGTTCATGCTTGTCCTTGCAGGCCTCTGTGAGAAGCAAAGTGCTTATTGTTCTTCCCTCCCCCTGCATGAGAAGCTAAGGGTGCTGACAGACATGCAGCTCCCGAATGTAACTTATGGTGCTTCACAGGAAGCACTGAGAGTTACAGTGTTACCCTCAACCCAACAGACATTCATTGTTGGGTCCAGAGGTTTGGGAGCAGCTAAGTTTGCTCCAGTTTGAAGCAGCTACATATATGCTATCCCTAACCCTGCCCCCCACCTCAGCTCCAGTGGTGACTTCAAAATGGGGGTGGAAGGGCCTCTAATCCAATGCTGAGGTGGGGGGGC